ATGTTGATTAACCGTCAAAGAGCTCAGATTAGTCGTGATAGTAGTAGGTAAACAGGGAGATTGGCCGAAACCCAAACGAAAGGAGATGTACAAATTGCCAGACTAGGAAACGAGTGTGCACGGAGAAGTGATGAAGAGGAATCGAGGATTCGGAAACAGCAGCGATTTGGGATGGCGAGGCTGAAGGTGGGAAAAGCTCGAGGCACAAAACGAACGAAGTAGTCGGTGGTAAAGTGCTGGCAAAGGTCAAGGAGGTCCCGATTTTTCGTGCTCTCTCGCCATCGACGGTCTCCCTCACTCTCTCTTCTCTACACAGTACGCAGTATGGTAAGGGAGCGTAACCGGGGGGAGGGGGGTGGGCAACGGCAACGGGCACCAGGAAAGGGGATTGTTTTCTTTGGGTACCAAAAGTGCTGCTCTCACGCGAAGAGTGGTCCGGCGGGCGACACGAACACGAGACGCACGACTCGTCCATACGAACTCTGTGCCACAGCACCACCCACACACTGTGGGCTGTTGAGAAGCCCGAGGAGTCGACATCAGCAGCCTGAAGCATTGCCTCCCGTCTGTACGGACAGCAGTGGCCTCGAGGGGTGTCGCCGGCGAGGACGAAATTGACAGACCCCTCCCCCCCCTGCTCGAATTTCTTCTCGATTTTTCTCCCCTTCCTTTTTTCCCTGATCTCGGTTCTCATCGCGGAAGCCACATTACACTGTATCCCCCTGTACCCGTCATTTCCTCCGCGGGACTCCTATATTCCTTGCGTTCCCCTGTATTTTCAGCGGTTCTGTGCGGGGTCTCTTGAGCTTGTTCTACATGGAGCACGTTCTGTGCAATGATGCTCGTTGTGTTGCTCAAGGGCGACGATACTCGGTTTGACGTTAGGCTGCAAACGTGTCTATGTATCCGTACTGCCTAGTCAGATCATTGTGAAGAGATGTGAATTCAGGAGACCGATCATCATCAGGGTAATAACCGCGCTCCAAGGGTTGGTCCAAAGGCTGCAAGTGGTCTCCGCATATTCCCATAAACCTTGAAGACGCGACTTGGCAGCCTGGCTGTGACAACATTGAGCGGGCTTCGGTACCAGGGGCGAGTGCCAGTGGTTCTGCTGAGAATGTAGAGCTGGCACTGGCCAGGGCCCGTCCAGCATGAAGAATGCACACGTCTCGCATCACGATGTGTATTTCGCTTCTCTCCTAGTCCCCAAGTCGATGCCAAGAGCATAACAACAGCCCTCTACTCGGTCCCCAACGGGTAGCATCGAATCATTGAAGCAGAGGCGAAAAGTGTGGTCGAAACAACAAATCAAGGTCCGCTCCGCCGGAAGTCTGTTCAACAATCCCTAGACCTTGTGGTGGCTGTTAGCGGACGGATTGGTGCGGTGGTGCCCCAACATTGTGCTTCTCCGCGAATACCGGTACCTTGGGCAGCCAGCTTGAACCTCAGCACACAGCTGCTGTGCTACGGGCCCGTTGACGGGGGACCTGCTGGCATCGAGGCGCCATCATGGATCATCTCACACTCGACGGCGCCGTGTTACTCACTGCCACTTGGACGTTGGCGCTGGCCGACGGTTTCCAGCGCGCCGCTAGACTCTCGTTCCGATGGGCGCAGCAGGCGGAGAGCGCGGACTGGGTGCCGCATCCATGTCAGCCGATGGGAGCGCTGATATAGCAGTCAAAGAAGAGGTACCAAAGAATCATAGGAAGACGCCGAGGCCGTTGCGTTCCAGCGGCCAGTGCCTGAAGATCGGCTGCCCTTCAGATTCTGTGATGGCTCAAGGGAGAGCAGACGGGTCGACTCCGCCCGGGCGAGATTGGCTGATCGGACCGGTGCGTGGAGAGAAATGTTGTCATCAATGATGCTGTTGACCCGGCGTCTCGAGGAATGCAGCGTGTAATTGCGTCTCATCCCTATTCTGGGACAATGTGGTTCGGGTCTCGCAGAATTCTTTGTTTACACGGCTGTGGCTGAGGGACCATCGACAGCACTTGAGAGTGTAGTGCAGGCCGTTCGAGTTTGGATATTGAGCATGATGCATGATTGATGAGCAGGATTCTCCGGTTCATCCATGATGTTAGGATGGCAGGCGGCAGACGGTCCAAGCCGCGCATGTCCCTGTGGTCCAGGGCGGCAGACATGGAGGAGGCGGGCTGATTACCTCGAATTGTCGTCGTCTCAATTAGAGAAGAGAATTGTGGACGTGTGGATGGGACGGGAGGTACTTCCGAGAGGTACATGTATGTACAGTGCGAACAGTGCGGAATAATCGTGCAGCCGCGTTCCCCGGGGTGTCGGTGCTTACGGATCCGAGGGGACGTACCTTGGTCATCAACGACCTCATCCATTCTATTACAGACACCTCAAAGTCCTCAATTGCAAAGCCTGAACACTCCTGGAGGCTGGACATGCAGGGCGAGACACTCGATGAAGAACCAGTGAGCCACCAGAGAAAATTCAGCAAGGAAAGAAAAGAAAAAGGGGGCACCGATGCAGATTGCAGAAGCATGGGGATCAATCCATTGGATCTGAAAGCAGCCGGCGAGTTCCCATCGGCCGCTAAAAGGTCCAAAAAAAGACCTGCAGCACATGATAATGGGGCTCATGGTTCCTTGCGGGCATAGCGTGTGTCCATAAATCAAGGTAAAGCAGAAAACCCTGTGTTTGGCGGGAACATAAAAATTGCACACTCACACACTCCATAGGGGAAGAAAAACAACAATGCGGCACTCGAGGGCACAGCCTCACGCCGAGACCCCGTCATGCCAGTCATTCAAACCAACCACCAACCACTCCGCTCCATTCAGCCAAGCCAAATCCGACCCTCTCCTCTCTCCGCTGACCAATGGCTCAGGTTCCATGATCATGCTGTCAGCAATATACACGAAAGGTCGCGGGTCACACTCGAGTCTCGCTACTCTCGAACCCGCCATCGCGGCTCCGCTTGAGGTGGCCCTGTCAGCGGCAATTCGCGATAACAACAACAAAGATGCTCTCACTGCTTAGTGCTTCGATACGAACAACACCAAAATGCACCGCCCTCCATCTATTCTCTATGTACGAAGTAGATGCACAGCTCCATTAGTCTGCTGCGAGAATTGCTGCACCCGCCACCACATTGCAGGCAAAGTCGGACGCTTACGACGTTGTGCTCAAAAGCTTATGCACGATCACAACACACATCCATCACGGTCGCCATGACCGAGTCAATAGATGCATCTGCGTGGATCCGATAGAGTATTGCCGGCGCCAGCAACGACTTTCAGGGGAGCACAATGCTACTACACAGCAGCCTTTGCGCTGTAGTACGCCGTGATGCCATTGCCAGCATCAACTTGTTGAAATCCTGCTTGGCCTTTCAGACGCTTGGAAAACACCCGCTCTCGCATCGGCATGCACTTCCTCTCTCAGCAGTGAGCAACAGTGGCAGCATCTGATGCACCGAACGGCAAACGGTGCGATCGGATGGGTGGGCCGACTCTCGTCTCCATGGGCTCGTATTTGTTCCAAGAAAAGAGCTGCCCGCTGCCAGATCTACAGTCATTGCCAGGCTAGCCGGGGCTTTCGTTGGCCACCACAGGATGCGCGACTGACGACTGTGGACTCGTGGAGACGGGCTCTTGGGGGCCTTTCCAGCTGGATCCTGATCACTGGGGGTGGTTGGCACTTGGATCCACGTCGTTTTCCTTTGGGTTCGAATCTGGTTTTGGCCGTGTTGCACCTCTGTCTCTGTTCAAGTATCGATGGAGCCAAGCCTCGTCCTGGTGTTCCATACTGACGAGCTTCCCAAATCTCACTTGAGCATCAGCCATCAGGTCAGCTCCAGCCTCAAGGTCAGCGTCCGTCGTCGAGGAGCTGAAGCGTGCATCAAGTACGATATTCTTACAGTGCGAAGCAGCCTCAGCCTTCAGCAGAAACGGTCTGCTCCAGGTATTCCACCGTGGTGCAAGGTACATGCGGACGGGCTAAGTTTAGGGACCCGAGCTTGACGGCACCGTCGCCAGGGTTCCCCTTCTGATGGCAAAAATTTGTCCGGGGGCCTCTGGACTGAGACTCTGCGTCTTTGGTCCGTCTCGCCCGCTCTAGTTCAGGGGTCAAGACAAGGAAGCCCAGAGGAAGAGAAGGAGAAGAGAAGGGAGAACGAGGAACAATGCGGACACACTCACTCAGATCCGTACTGTATTTTTGGACCTGGCTCTGGAAGCTACAGAGGCTGGTGGTGTGTTGATGATCCCTCGACTCAGGTATCTATTCCTACTGTGTTCGTGAGAGTGGTACCTCGGGCAGCACGAAAAGAAGCATCTTCTATCCATCATTACGAGACCCACGCTCCATGTCTTCGCCTTGTCTGAGCCGTGTGTCTGCCGCCTGTGCCTGTTAGCTAGCTACCTTACCTATTAGTGAACGCTCGTTTGCCAGACACTCCGGGGACCTGCGTAGAGAGAAAATAGGTCATTCTCTGTCTCTGGGTATCTCCCCCCCTTTCGCTCGCCACTTTCTTCTAACTCGACATTCGATTTTTGAAAGTGTCCGAGAGACTATTCAGCCCTTCTTCCTCTCAAACCTCTTTCCTATACAGACGCCTCACTCGTTTTGGTGGTCTGCCTACTCTATCGCTAATTTGTTACACATCCTCTTCCTTTTAATTTTTACCTGTGCTTGTTGATCGCCGCGTTTGCGTTTTGCAAGAGAGGAGAAAGAAAGGGAGAGAATCCAGCTGCAGCCTCATCAGACACACCACCAACCCGCGTTGCTCAGTCGACAAATCGTGCAGGAAATACGCCTCTTTTTGCTACCCTACAACCTTAATCATCACACCCTTCTAGACACTCGCTTTACGAAACGACTTTCTCGAATTCCTTCTCAATTCTTGCCCATTGACGACAGATCTCATCGTCTTGTTTACCTCGAGACAGACGACATCACCGACTCCGAATAGCGTCTCGTCCGTCGACGTGTTTGTCCGCGCCGGACATCACGAACCCAATCCCATCACCATGGCGAGCGGACGCATGTCCATGTACTCGGTGGCCTCCGAGGGCATGGGAGGTCCTCGTGCCGGCCAACAACCCTCGCAGTTTTCCACCACGACCCTCCTCAACGCTATTCACAACATTTACCTGTCGTCTCAACCCTTCAAGTTGGACGCTGGCACCAGTCTTGTCGTCAACACATGGCTCACCGCAGCACAGGCCGGACCGGACGGAAGAACAGGAGGCACCATAGACCCTGCCCTCGGTGCCAGAGCATGGGAACATGCTCGCCGCCGCGCTGAGGATGGCTGCATCATTCTCGGGTAGGTCTCAACCTCCGATCAACAGACAACAATTGCTAACGCTGTTTAGTTCCCTACACACATCAAGCCCCTCGGTCCTCACGCCATTCCTCTCATCTCTACCGCTCAATATCCCGTCATCCGTCTACAGGTCACTCGAAGCCATCCAACCTTTCCTGAGATGCTCCACCCCCTACAACCCCTCCGCTTCCAGACAGTCTGCCCTCGGCGTCACCTTGACACTCAACCTGGCCGGTAACTTCCAGGGAGCCGCCATCGCCCTGTCCCAGGGTGGCATCGATACCGCAAAGGGCCTGCTCAACATCCCCTCTGAACCGGGATACCGCGCCTTTGACGTTTTTTACTACCTGTTGACGTCGGTCTCTACGCCGGCCGAGAGAGAGTTCCTGGGCCTCAAGCCCGCCTCCAGCTATGCCCTGCTTGCGAGATCCGGCACATACGACCCGCCCTCCTACCTCCCCACCGCTGACGATGCCGCCGCTGCCGATGATTTCAGAACCGCCCTCAAGGACATTGGCATCAAGGGCTCTGCGTACCGCAACCTCATCTCTACCCTTGCCGGTCTGCTCAAGCTCGGCGACACGCTCGACTACAACCTGGACGAGGACGTCTTTGACGAAATCTGCGAGGATGTGAGCGGCTTGCTGGGTATGGACCCCGAGACCCTTGCCACGCAGTGCACGACGCAGGACCGGTCAACGCTGGTCGGCGGTCTGTACGAGGCATTGGTCGACTGGGTCATCTCCAAGGCCAACCAGGCGATTTCTGCACAGATGGCCCGTATCAGAGACGGCACCGAGTCCATCGCAGGTGGTGCCCGCACGCCCACTTCCAACGGCGACGGCGACACCGTCTGCATCACCATCTTGGATGTCCCTGACCCAACCCTGGGCAAGGCCTTGACCATGCGTGGAATCTTTGACGATACCGTAGGCATCAACTCGGAGATGATTGCTGACGGCATCGAGGCCTCGCCTGCCGGCAGCACCGTCGTGCGTGAGATGCAGACGGCCGTTGCGGAAGTTGGCCATGAGCTCGGCATCATGTCTGGTGCCGCCGGCAAGGACCGCCAGCACGCCCTCGAGAAGCGTGAAGAGGTCCTCGAAAAGATTGGACACTCTGCCGACGACGACGCGTTTCTAAAGAAGCTGCTCTTTCCGGTCTCCGGCCAGGGCATCAACCTGGGGGTTACTGGACGTCTTGAGCTCGCATCCCTCCTCAGCTCCAGCCGCGTGTGGTACCACCTCTCGATCCACCCCACCGACGACTCTCCCGCCAGCTTGGCTGCTCTGCCTTCAGTCAACTCTGCCTGGTCAGCCGGCACGGTCTCCCGCCAGCTCCGCTCCTGGAGGCTGCCTGAGTGGGCCAACAGGCGAAACAAGAACCTGGACTTCACTGCCGATTTCGATATCGACGAGTTTGTCCAGCGATACGCTGCGTTGGGCTGCCAAGATGGCCGCGAGGGCATCGAGACGTGGATTCTCGAGCGCGGATGGACCAACGGTGAGGTCATTGTTGGCAAGGAGCGTGTGTGGACGCGTGAGAGCGCTTGGTGGGAGGCGGAGAGCATGCTCGACATGAAGCCCCTCGACAACAATCTCCCCGGTATGGGCAATGTCCTAGCCGTCAACAACCTCGAGTCGGGCTACTCGGCAAACGGCAGCGGCTACTTCCCGACGCCCATGCTCGACACGACGCCCAACGGCAGCCGTGATCACCTCATTGCTCACCAGCGCAACGCCAGCCAGGGCAACCTCTCCCAACACACCCTCGCCCACAACGCCGCGATGCGTGCTCCGTCCGTCGCTCCTTCGGGCATGCGTCCCGCGCAGAACGGAGACTACGGCCTCGGCACCAAGGGTGACACCTACAAGGGCCAAGTCTTTTACAACAACGAGGGCGAGTTTGTCGGCCAGATGGATCCCGAGATTGCTGACGGCAAGCACGTCGAGGAGAAGACCATGGACAAGGATCGCCGCCTCTGGGTCGCCATTGTGTGGTTCTGGACCTTTTGGATCCCCTCGCCTGCGCTGCGCGTCATCGGCCGCATGAAGCGTCCCGACGTGCGCATGGCCTGGCGTGAAAAGTTCACCTTGGTCTGGTTCATCGTGCTCATTAACGCTGCTATTGTTTTCTGGATTATCGGTTTCGGCAAGCTCCTGTGTCCCAACTTTGACAAGGCCTGGGACAGGACCGAAGTCGGCACGCACCAGGGCGAGACTGATTTCTACGTCAGCTTCCGCGGTGGTGTGTACGATGTCTCCAAGTTCTGGAAGACGCAGCACTCCGACACCAACATTGAGACGACCAAAGCCAACATGCTCCAATTCGCCGGATTGGACATGGACGACTACTTCCCGCCCCCTCTCACTCTGGTGTGCCCCGGCCTTGGAATCGCCTCGTCCACCGCGCTCCAGGCCAACAACACCCCCGAGTTCACAATTGGTATCCACAAGTCTGGCTCCTTGGCCGACGACCGTACTAGCGCGCTCGGAGACAGTGACTGGTACAGCAAGAAGCTGCTGCCGCGCATGAAGGAGTTCTACAAGGGCGACCTCGTCTGGGACAAGAGTGACGTCAAGTCGGACGGCCAGGACAACAGCCACATGTGGGTTATCTACAACGGCGGCGTCTACGACTTTACAAACTACTACCACACTCAGGATGTCTTCAAGCAGGTCGACACGTACAAGTTCCTCAACACCAAGATGATGAGCGCTGTCGAGAACAACCCGGGTGAAGACATCACCGACAACTGGAACACCATCATCAAGGCCGCCGCCAGCAACTCGACCGAGAACACCAGCGTCCAGAACAGTCTCAACTGCGCCAAGAATCTGTTCTACGTGGGTATTCCAGACTTCCGCTACTCCGCTAGGTGCCAGACCAACAACTACATCATGTTAGCCATGACGATTATTCTCTGCGCCGTCATTCTCATCAAGTTCTTGGCTGCTCTGCAGTTCGGTTCCAAGCGTCGTCCCGCGCCGCAAGACAAGTTTGTTATCTGTCAAGTGCCGGCCTATACCGAAGGCGAAGACTCGCTGCGAAAGGCGCTCGACTCTTTGACGGCTCTTCAGTACGACAACAAGCGCAAGCTCATCTGCGTCATTTGCGACGGTGTCATTGTCGGTGAAGGCAACGATCGTCCCACCCCCAAGATTGTCCTGGATATCCTCGGCGTCGACCCCAAGGTTGACCCGCCCGCGCTGCCCTTCAAGTCTGTCGGCACGGGCAGCGAGCAACTCAACTACGGCAAGGTGTACTCTGGTCTGTACGAGTTCGAAGGCAACGTCGTCCCCTACCTCGTCATTGTCAAATGCGGCAAGGAATCCGAGCAGAGCAAGGCCAAGCCCGGCAACAGAGGCAAGCGTGACTCCCAGATCCTGCTGATGAGCTTCCTCAACCGCGTCCACCACCGTTCCCCCATGTCCCCGCTCGAGCTAGAAATGTTCCACCAGATCAACAACATCATCGGCGTGGATCCCGAGCTGTACGAATACCTGATGATGATTGACGCCGATACCTGTGTCCGGGAAGACTCGCTCAACAGACTGGTTTCCGCCTGTGCCAACGACGCCAAGATTGCCGGTATCTGTGGTGAGACTGGTCTGCAAAACGACGACAAGACCTGGTGGACCATGATTCAAGTCTACGAGTACTTCATCTCCCACAACCTGGCCAAGGCTTTCGAGTCTCTCTTCGGATCCGTCACCTGTTTGCCTGGATGGTATGTACCCTCAAATCTTCCTTGCAATACCAAGCTAACCAGCCAGTTTCACAATGTACCGTCTGCGGACCGTCGACAAGGGCAAGCCGCTCATTATCTCAGACGGCATCATTCGCGACTACGCCGTGTGTGACGTCGACACCCTCCACAAGAAGAACCTGCTGTCGCTTGGTGAGGATCGTTACCTGACGACGCTGATGACCAAGTACTTCCCGTCCATGAAGTTCAAGTTCATCCCCGACGCGTACTGCCAGACTGCTGCCCCCGAATCGTGGAGCGTTCTGCTGTCCCAACGTCGTCGCTGGATCAACTCCACCATCCACAACCTGTTTGAACTGATGAAGCTCAAGGAGATGTGCGGTTTCTGCTGCTTCAGCATGCGCTTCATCGTCTTTGTTGATCTCTTTGGTACCATTATTCTCCCGGCGACGACCTTTTACCTCGGCTACCTTATCTACCTCGTGGCCAGTAAGACCGGACAATTCCCCATGATTTCCATCATTATGCTCGCCGCGGTGTACGGTCTCCAAGCCCTCATCTTCATCCTGAAACGGCAATGGCAGCACATCGGATGGATGATTATCTACATCCTCGCTTTCCCCATCTACAACTTTGCGCTCCCCATCTACTCCTTCTGGAACCAGGACAACTTCTCGTGGGGTAACACGCGTATCGTCATTGGAGAAAAGGGCATGAAGAAGCTCGTCGCCGTCGACGACGAAGGCTTCGACCCCCGCAGCATCCCCCTCCAGCGCTGGGACGACTACGCCATGATGAACAACCTCCCCGGCCGCCGCGGCGGCTACATGGAGAAGGCCGACATGGGCTACGACGACCAGTACGAGATGGACGAGATCCGCTCTGTTTACTCGTCCGTCCGCCAGGGCTCCGTCCTCACGGGCATGAACCGCAACAACCACTACGTCCCGCCCCAGTCGCCCGCGCCCTTTGGCGGCATGGCGCGCGCCTCGGGCGCCACGAGCCCCTACCACCACGACCAGCACATGGCCAACCGCCAATCCATGGTCTCGCTCGGCGCCCACGATATCAACCGCGGCCAGACGCCCTTCCAGGACTTCCCCAGCAGCCGGCCGAGCGTCTCCAACCTCCGCGGCCAGGCCAGCGTCTCTCCCGGCCTGGGCGTTGGGAACAACCGCTCGCAGTCGGCTCTCGGCATCAACCGCCAGCAGGCCGGCGCCGCGCAGTCGACGTCGTCCTTCGACTTCCAGCGCGGCAACATGCAAGGGCCCGACGACGGCATGATCATTGACGCCATCCAAGGCGTCCTGCGCGAGGTCGACCTCGACACGGTGACCAAGAAGCAGGTGCGCGCTCTCGTCGAGCAGAGGCTGCAGACGGGACTCGTCGGCGAGAGGAGGACGTTTATGGACAGACAGATTGACAACGAGCTGGCCAACATGTAAAGTGTACGTGTCTCAGCATCATAACGGCAAATCGTACATAACACGGCCAGCTTTCATCTCTGTCGTATAATGAGGGCATTTTAAAAAAAAAAACTCGGGGCGTTGCGAATCTACGGGCATGTCTTGGATACAAATCTTGTTTACCATGTTTCTTTCTCTTTATTTAGGGGGGCATATCGTAGTTTTTTTTTTGGCACCACATTCGCGGATGGCTTCCACCGGATAATACATCTCCTAGTAGTTCAAATTAATCTATATGAGACAATGGACCTTTATTATGAATCGTGCGAATTGCGTTTTACTGTATTCCTGTCTACTCATGTCCTACGCTCCTGAATCTTGCCAACGCCGTTGAGCCGCAGATAGACATCGGTTCCCCAGCCATACAAGCTCTGCACGGCAATCCCACCGCCAAAGTACTCGGCGTACGCCCGACTCAGCGGTAGACCGTACCCGAGACCCGCAATCGAGCTCCCACCAGCACTCGCGCTGGAAATGACATTGAGGCCACCATCGTCGGACCCGGGAAACTCGTCGTCGTCGGAAAAGGTGGTAAAGGAGTAGGACCAGATATTGGGCAGCACCTCGGGGGAGATGCCGCCGCCGCGGTCGCGGATCCGGATCGTCACGCCGGGGACGTTATCCTCGAGCGGCTTGATGGCGTCGCTCCTAAACTCGCCGCGCGTCTCCTTGGGCACCTCAATCTTGAGGTGCTGGTTTGGCCGGGGCGGCTCCGGGGCGATGGTGACGACGATGGGCTCCTTGTTGTCCCTGGCTTCCACGGTGGCTCGGAAGGCATTCTTGAGGAGCTCGGTGACTATGTATTCGAGGTGCATCGGTATAAACGCAAACGTGGTATCGGGCTCGCCGTCGATGACGAGCTGCGGCCGTACGCCATACCGCAGCTCGCAAATGTCAGCCACGAAGCCGGCACAGGACTCGATGATGTGGGCGGGCTTGAGGGCCGTGTCGATGACGCCGATATAGCTGGGCTGCTCCGGGCACGGGGTCGGGCTGGCCTGGGGGTCAAAGTGCGGCTGAGAGCTGTAGTGCAGGGCAATGTGCTGCTCGGCGACAAGACGGGTGCCGATGCGGGCGCGGAGGTGCTCGTCGAGGAAGCGGGTGACCTCTTGCGGGGAGATGTAGCGGCGGCACTCGAGGAAGCCGCGGGCGAGGATGGGGATTGTGTCGGTGTGGGTTGCAACGAGCTCGGCGAGGACCTCTGTGAAGCGTATCTCGTCGTCGAGGGTGCGGACAGCGCTATCGCCGCCCTTTGTCCACCAGGGGAGGAGAGTGGAGAGGGAGTGGACGTAGTTGTTGTAGATGCGGCTGATGTTGGGGTTGGAGACGACAATGTAGGGGAGGTTGCGGAGGGCTTGGATGCGGTGGGCGAGGCGGATCGGGAGGAGGGAGAGGGTGAAGTTGGCCGAGGACAGCAAGGACTTTTCGCTCAGAGGGGGGCGGCCGTGTCTTTTGATGTTAGTGCTTGCAATTGGGATCAATGCCCAGAGAGTGTAAGTACTTGACCAAGTCGGTGAGGCTCAAGGGATGCTGAGTCTTGTTGGCGAGCTGGACAATCTCGTGGTCGTCGACACGGGACAGGTGGTGGGAGGAGCCATGGCGGTGACTGTGACGGTGGCCGTGCCGAGAGGAGGAGAGCAGACGAGTGATTGTGTAGGTATTGAGTTGTGCGAGTATCCTCTGGGGCGTTCTGGGCCTCAATGGTCTCGCGATGGGTATCATGGCGGCATTGTCGATGTTGCAAAGTGAAGTAATGCGATCAAGGGGAAATCCGTTGGGAGGTTTCTGGTGCAACACGCAGTAACAGCAGCAGCAGCAGCGGACGGGAAAGAGCATGAGATCATACGCTTTGGGACCTTAGCGTGTGGTTTGTGCACTGTCCTTTTTGTGGGGTTCCCAATGGCTACCGACGGCCCCTGTGTGAGATGGTCCGGGCTCTCCATGAGCCCCGCGCCGAGGGTGGTGAGACAATTGGACCTCTGGCGGCGGGGGCCGATTCCAAGCGTCTCCTTGATGCTGTTATGGAAGGTAGGTACACTGTGAGGTACGTGTTGTTTGTTGCGATGAGGACCTTGATGATTTCAAACCACATGTTTGCCTGTCTGAAGCAGGTTCCTATACGAGCCAGATGTCACAAACAGTATGAAATTAGTCAACAAAGTAAAGCGTAAATCATTAAGAATCTCGTGAGTCTAAGGTATGTAGTGGATCAAGTACAGCTTGCCAGCCCCTCGCTCGGGATACAGCCCTCTATTGTGTCTTGACCTCCTGATCCTTCTCGACATGCTTGACGTGCTCGTGGCTCTCGAGGGTTGAGATTTGGTCCTCGGGGAACTCGACGCTGTAGGAGGTCAGTCATTGTACTGGTGAGGGTGAAGAGGGGGGGACATACGAGAAGCCCTTGATCAGGCTGTACTCGTGGCCAATCTTTCCTCCCTGGTCGGTGGCGTGCTTCTTGGCACTGGTTTGCTGTTAGCTTCTAGATCCGTATCGTCGTGAAAGAGATGACTTACGCCGCGACCTGGTCGGCGGAGGCATCCTCCTTGCAGGTGACCTGGAGAAGGTTAGCTTGCTGAACTGTGATGGTGATATCCAGCGTAGAGGATTTGTACTCACAATATAGGTAGGCATTCTGATAGATGTAGTTTGGTTTGTATGGTGGGAGTTGTAGTTTGTGGTTGTGCAAGAGCGAGGTTGAAGTTGGCAAGCCTCCAGGTTGGACAGAGGTCGGCAGAGTCTCTTTATAACCAAGCCGGCAGGACTCATGCCTACCTGGTTTGCTAAGGATGTGCTACCTTCCAGACGGCACACACCAGTGATAGTGACGGGATGGGTGTGGGAACTCGAGGTGGGCTGCCTACTGCGTACAGCCGGGAACTAACAGTGACGCGGAAAGGTTCATGGGTGGCCCAGCGGGTGGAGGGGAAGGTCCATGCAACCACAACAGCAACTACCTACCTACATAGTGATGTCCCTGAACCTGCGTGGGTGTGGACGCCTGTGTGGTACGGTACGTAAAGCATTGGATGGCACCAGCATCTGCTTGCTTTCTATCCTTAGTACCTATTCCAGGTGCTTGCTGTACGTACACGCAATACGTCATCCCACCTTTGCGCGCGTCTTGAGCCGAAATGGTCGCCTCCATCTGCCTGCCAGACAACCAACAAGTTATCCCGCAAAGGCCTCTATGGCGCATAGAGCGCATCCACAACACGTCCGACGTGCACAGCCGAGATAAGACGCGAAAAGACTGACCAGATCTGGCGCCTCATGCATCTCGTTTCTTCACGCATCATCCTGCTGGTGCGCGCAGAGGATTGCGGAGCCTTGAATTGTCTTGTGACTTGGCCCAGAAACCAATCAATACGTCCCCGGCCACCTCTCACCATTTCCCACCACTGGGTCGTCATTGCCATGCCGTCATTGCTGACCTAACCCGTCTTCACCTGTGTCTCTGTTCTCAACTACCTGGGGAAGGTATTCACGGGTCTCTTGCCCACTATGCGTCGTATACCACCACGTCGGCATCCACCGTGATCCCTGTCATTCCTTGAAAACATTCAGATACCATGAGCATTGCAGAACCACAATCCCAGAGATATCACTGTGTAAAGACCATGCATCAGACTCATCATCGTGGGGTCGGCTTAACGACGATCCCCGAGGGAGGGGCACAGAGGGGTAACACGAGAAAGTGGGGGCCATGCTATCTTATCGATATCCGATTAGATAAGCCAGACCCGCAACAAATTTTTGATCGAGAGCAGTCGAGTCGCGAAGCGCTGCAACGAGAAAAAAAAACCCACGGCCCGTCTTTCGTTGTGTAGTTGCAGGACCCTCCCAACATCTTTGGGCAACGCCGTCATGGAGGACCAAGTACACAAGCCTCACCGTAAGGCGAAGGACAAGAAGGGGAAGCAGAACACAGGGGGTGAGTCTCTTATACTTACGACCACCCGCCAATTCGAATACTAACAAGCGCGCAGAAAAGAACCCCAAGGCCTTCGCCTTTTCTAACCCCGGAAAGCTTGCCAGGTCGGCCGCGAGATCTTCAGATGTGCGGACCTTCCTCTCGCTCGCATAGCACACCAGAAACTGACCCGTACGCTTTACAGATCAAAGAACGACGCTTCCATGTCCCGCAAGTCGACCGCCTCCCCGACGAGCCGCCACCGAGGCTGGTCACCATCGTGGGACCGCCCGGTGTCGGCAAGACGACCCTCCTCAAGTCCCTGATCCGACGCTACGCAAAGGAGACCGTGTCCGACCCCCAAGGACCCATCACCGTCGTCACCTCCAAGAAGCAGCGATTGACCTTTGTCGAGTGCCCCAATGAGCTCGAGGCCATGGTTGACATGGCCAAGATCGCCGACATTGTTCTCCTCATGATTGACGGCAACTACGGATTCGAGATGGAGACAATGGAGTTCCTCAACATCCTCGCCGCCACCGGTATGCCCGGCAACGTCTTTGGCATCCTCACGCATCTCGACCTGTTCCGGAAACCCCAGGCGCTGAGGGACGCCAAGAAGCGACTCAAGAAGAGGCTGTGGAGCGAGCTGTACGCGGGTGCCCACCTCTTTTACCTCTCTGGTGTCATGAACGGACGATACCCCGACCGCGAAATCCACAACCTCTCCCGTTTCCTGTCCGTCATGAAGAACCCGCGCCCCCTGATCTGGAGAAACTCCCACCCGTATACCATCATCGACAGCTATCGAGACATCACCCACCCCACAAAGATTGAGGAGGACCCCATGTGCGACCGGTCGATCGTGTTGTCGGGGTACCTGCGCGGCACCAACATGACGCAGCAGGGGCAGAGAGTTCACGTTCCGGGGCTGGGCGACTTTACCGTGGCGAACCTCGAAGTCATGCCCGACCCGTGCCCGACCCCGGCCATGGAACAGGCCCTCGCCAAGGTAACGGGCAAGACGACGCGACGACGCCTGGACGAGAAGGAGAAGAAGCTCTACGCGCCCATGTCCGATCGCAGCGGTCTCAAGATTGACGGCGACGCCATCTGGATCACGAGGGAAAAGGGATTCACGCTAGACAAGGACGCCGAGGACGGCGAGCGCGGCGAGGGCGAGGAGCTCATCGTGGGACTCCAGGGCGAGCGGAAGCTGCTGGGCCAGACCGAGGAGGGCGTGCAGCTCTTCAAGGGAGGCGAGCAGCTGAAGCAAGTGGCCGAGGAGGAGGACACGGGCAGAAAGACGCAGCGCCACGCACGTTTCGCGAACCGCGAAGAGGAATCCGACGCCGAGATGGACGACGACGAGGGATTCGTCAGTGGAGAAGAGGAGGGCGAGTCAGACGTGGAAGAGGAGTTCAACGAGGGCAAGCTGGGCAAGATGTTCCGGAAAACCGCCGACAAGGAGGCCCAAGAAGACGACATTGCCTTTGCCGACAGCGACTCGGACCTCGGCTCAATATCGGGGCTCGAAGACGAAGACGAGGACTCGGACGATGACGGGGACATGGACGACGAGGATTTTGACTCAGACGAGGAGGCGGCGGCCATGAAGTGGAAGGAGAACATGGCAGAGCGCGCAAAGAAGCTCCACGGCAAGCGACGCTCGTACCACACACCGGACCTAGCCAGGTTCATGTACGACGAGAAGCTGTCGCCTGACGAAGCGCTGCAAAAGTGGCGCGGCGAGGAGCAAGAAGAGGAAGACATTGAAGCAGACGAGGACGACGACTTTTTCCAAAAGTCCAAGCAGGACAAGGAAGACAAGGTCGAGGACAGATCGATACCCGTGTACGACTACCAAGACCTGGCGGCGAAGTGGTCGCAGGCGGCGGCCGTGGAGGCTCTGCGGAAGCGCTTCACCACGGCGGGCATGCGTGATGACGACGGAGACGACGACGAGTTTGACGGCATCGACGACGATGAGGAGGAGGAGGACGACGAAGGTGACGGTGTCTTTGAGGACCTCGAGACGGGCGAGCAGCACGGAGGAAACGCGGAGGAGCCCACAGAGGAAGAAGCGTTTGACACGGAGCGTGAAAAGAACGCGAAGCGCAAGGAGGAGCTCAAGCTGCGCTTCGAAGAGGAGGACCGCGAGGGATTCATGAACGACAAAGCCAATGCCCGGCGGGAAGGCGCAGCAGGCGACCAGGAGTTCGGTGAGGACGACTGGTACGAGGCGCAAAAGGCCGTCATCCAGAAGCAGCTCGACATCAACAAGGCCGAGTTCGAGACGCTGGACGAGCGGCAGCGGGCGGCCGTCGAGGGCTACCGCGCCGGCAAGTACGCAAAGATTGTGCTCGAGGGCGTCCCGGCCGAGTTTGTCGAAAAGTTCAACCCGCGCAACCCCATCATCATCGGCGGCCTGTCCCCGACCGAGGACCGCTTCGGCTTCGTCCAGGTGCGCATCAAGAAGCACCGCTGGCACAAGAAGATTCTCAAGTCCAACGACCCCTTGATTTTCTCCCTCGGTTGGCGCCGCTTCCAGACCATGCCCATCTACAGCACCTCGGACTCGCGGACGAGGAACCGCATGCTGAAATACACGCCCGAGCACACGCACTGCTTCGCGACCGTCTACGGCCCGCTCATTGCGCCCAGCACGGGCTTCGTCTGCTTCAACTCCTTCTCGCCCGAGAACCCCGGCTTCCGCATCGCGGCGACCGGCACCGTCCTCAGCGTCGACGAGTCGACCGAGATTGTCAAGAAGCTCAAGCTCACGGGTACCGCCGACAAGATCCACAAGAACACGGCCTTCATCAAGGGCATGTTTAACACGGCGCTCGAAATCGCCAAATTCGAGGGCGCCGCCATCAAGACCGTCTCGGGCGTCCGCGGCCAGATCAAGCGCGCCCTTTCCAAGCCCGAAGGCCACTTCCGCGCCACGTTCGAGGACAAGATCCTCTACAGCGACATCGTCTTCCTCCGCGCCTGGTACCCAATCAAGCCCCACCGGTTCTACAACCCGGTCACCAACCTCGTCGGGTGGCAGGCGATGCGTCTTACCGGCCAAGTCCGCCGCGACGAAGGCATCGACACGCCCCTCGAGAAGAACAGCCAGTACCGCAAGATCGAGCGCCAGACGCGGCACTTCAACCCCCTCAGGGTCCCGCGCGCCCTGGCCGCCGAGCTGCCCTTCAAGTCGCAAATCGTCCAGCAGCGCAAGCAGAAGAAGGAGACGTACATGCAGAAGCGCGCCGTGGTGCTCAACAAGGAGGAGAAGACGGCGCGGAACCTGCTGCAGCAGCTGTCGACGATCCGCAACGACAAGGTCGCCAAGCGCGCCGCCAAGAAGGAGGAGAAGCGCGCAGAGTACCGCAAGAAGATTGCCGACTCGGACGAGAAGAAGGAGGCGCGGGAGAAGAAGGAGAGCAAGGAGTTTTGGCGCAAGAACGGGCGGAAGCGCCAGGCGGCCGATGACGGGGGTGGCGGTGGTGGACAGAAGCGCAGCAGAAAGTAAATATATTCGGAACACGGAAAACGGGAGACTAAAAGCAAGTAAGAGAGAGAGAGAGAGACAGAGTATGTGTAATCAAGGGCGCTTGGCTGTCATTTGCATTAGACGGCGCAGGCTGTGAAGCCTCTCAGTAGGGTATCTAACTTCAAAATCATTTCCTTGATACGTGCCCGTCGCTTGTGTCTAGTTGTTGCGCCTCTCTTGCTTCGTACTCTGAGCCTCTGATGGCTGTGTATGACTTTTCTTTTCAATGATTACGAGGCCGATGGCTTGAGGCGCAATACTCACCGTACTCAGCCTTGGTGGTAGAGAGTGCCGGATACTCCTAGGTGACTCGGCCACTCGTCTACCTGCCAGCCCAATTAACATCATCATACGCTCAAACCGTTGCCATTCTCGTCTTGACCATGGCCAACTCGGAACTCTTGGCCCACGTGCCGCTCGGCGTCTGCCGGTAGCACACAAGCTTCCCATCATCACCAGTGCTGGCCAGGATCTGTCCGTCATCGTCAAACCCGACGCGCCAGACGGGTGTGCGGTGGCTGTCGAGCTTGGCGACTTCCTTAAAGACGTGCTTCACCTGCCCCGGTTGACCCGAAAAATGCCGTTCCGCATGCGAGCCAGACTTTGCCAGGCTTGCGCTGAGTCCCGATTGATGCTGCTGCTGCTTGTCGTTTGTCTGCCCTCCGGCCTTTGCCGATGCCTGCGCATAGTGATTTTCGTGCTTAGTGAGCTCCGTCGTGGCCCATGTCTTGCCGTCGTCGGCCGAGTGCGGCGTGTCAATGCGGAACACGCGCACGCAGCCGTCCTGGCACGCCGTTGCGATGGTGTCGTATCCTCGAATGTTGCCCGTCGCCCACGCCACGTCGCGTACGAGGCCGCGGTGGACGCCCACCTCGACGGCAAGATAAAACTCTCGTTGTGTCTGCGCCACGCCGTACGAAGTCGCAATGACATCCCTCGAGCGATAAATCTTGACCGACGACATGCCCGCCACGACCAGCCCCAAGGAGTCGCTCGCCACGCCCGCCCTCAGGGCGTTGTAGCACGGGTCCAGGTTCGGGTCGAAGCGGACCTTGAAGCTGATCTCCTCGCCGCGGCTCGGCTTGGGGCATATGCTCAGCTCATCGATTTGTGTGTATTCCGACATGTTTTCGGGCTGTTCATTCTCGTACACCACCAGGCGGCCCTCGGTGGAGAGCAGAGCGAGGTACGTGTGCCGCGTCTCCTCGTTGTGCTTCATGGAAAAGGAGCGGTAGGGGTACTTGGGAGAGCGCATTTCGTAGGCGGCTTTGCTCGTCGTCGCGCGGCTGCTGGCGCTGAATCGGCGACCCGGTGCTGCAGACGGGTCTTCCGCCCACAGCTTGAAGCGGCCTTCTATGCCGAGAGAGGCGATGAGGTTAGGGTAGACTGTCGGGGGGAGCCATTGGAGCTGGGGGCGAGGCAAAGGTCAGCCAGGTTCAGTAGCGGCGGTTCGCTCGCGGCTCATGTGTTTATACCTCGAGGATCTCGCCGCCGTGGGCACCCCAGGTATCGCAGTGGTGCCAGACGCCGTCCTTGTGCCGATTAAAGACCTTAATCTTGCCGTCTACGGACCCTGTCGCGCACCGGTCGCCGTAGGCGTTGAAGGCGACGGCCTGGACGAGGTCCTGGTGGCCATGCTGGAGATTGAGGTCGAATCCGGTCTTTTCTTCGGCGATTGCAGGTACTTCGTGAGGGTATGTCGTCATCTTGCGCCGAATTGGGTGATGGGGAGCTGGTTACAGTACTCGTACAACGAGGTCGTGGTGTTGTAGATGCGACCGAGTTGAAGGTCGAGCGAGGGAGCTCTGCCCCGCGCATTTAGCTTCGGTACGTACCGATCTGGTGACAACCTCAACTTCAGTCAAATATACAATCAACAAAGGTTCCAAAGACCAGTTTGCAATTACAATGGCATCTAGAAATTTGAGAATAATAAGTATTAACGGATTCCCAAGCTTATCAAGCCCAAAATACACACAATTGATCTCACAACAAGCCAGACCATGCCTCTGATGTGTCACGACCTAACGACACAGCACAAACAGTCCAAACACACGCTCCTGGGTCTCAATCAGCCATTGAAAGTATAGAAGATCAACTCAAATTGAAGGACATGCTGTGTAATTCAATCCAAAACAAAGACCACCCAGGTTCAATCATCCCCCTCAACATTGATGCGCAGCTCCTGTAGCTTCTCATAGAGAGCCGGTATACCTTTCCCAAACGCAAGTGAATGTGGGACATCCTTGAGGGGATGAACCGGTCCGTAACTGACATTCTCGACAGTAACCAACAAGTTGCGCACAAAGTTGCCGTCCCAGAGATTTTCTCGCTGCGGGTAGTTTCGCAGCACCCCCAGGGCTTTCCCCTGGATAACGGGATCTTGACAGGTAACGAGTATAAAGTAGAGGGGCGGTATGATACCAATATCGAGAGTAAACGACCGAGGCATTGCTCCCGTTTCCCGCTGCTTGGAAACCAGCCCTTGATGTAACAGGGCAGCCAACAATACGAGCTCCGCGTACTGGGCGACGACGTCGGGCGACTGCTGCCTCTGGTGCGGCTTCTGATGCAGCGTCTGACATATCAGACGCGCGCACTTATAGTGGAGCATGTCGAGGCAGATGGAGTGGTGCTCCTCGGTACCGCTCGCAGGGGCTTGGGGCGTCTCCATGAAGCGTTGGAAGAGACCCGTCAGGTGGTCGCCCCGTTCCATAAGGATCTCGTGCTGGCGGTGCGGTACGGGGCGAGCCCAAAACTCGTCGTCACCTTGTTGCTCCTTTGTGAGCCAGACCAGGGCGAACACGTCCCGCGTGTATTGTACGATGGCTCGGTGCGCATCCGCAATGGTCTCGAATTCGTCCAGCAGTGTGCCGTCGAGCTCTCGCCCTTCGTACAGCTTGATAGCGATGACGGGCTTAAAGTTCTCGGCAAAAAGTGCGCAGGAGATCTCCCAGGTGGCGAAGAGTCTCAGGATGTAGTTCATTGCCAAGACGTCTTCCGAAGGATCTGCGCTAGCATGAGCGGGCACGGCATCGCGCAGCTCGTTGAGCTTGCTCATGGGTAGACTCTCAATGATGCGCAGGCCATTCGAAAGATGCGTCAGCGCTGGTCGCCAGTTATTCCGCAAGGACTCGATGCAGACGAAGGACACGCAGCAGAGGAGAGTGACGGTGATCCTGTCCTTCATTGGAACGTGGGCATAGCTGGAGAGCTTGGACATGGCCGTGCCGTACTGCTGGATGGTAAAGATTTCGAGCTCGCGTGGAGGCGTCTCTCCGCCGCGAGGAGGGGCTGTCTGGTAGATGTGATGGGCAGAGCCAAGGGCGACAATAGCATGCTTCACGGCCTCGTCCGAATGGCTTAGCTGGGTCGCGATGCGGCTCCAGGAACTGGTGAGGTTCGTGACATGGTTGGAGAGGCCGGCTTCTGCCATGCGGCGGAAGCGGTGGAAGTAGACGCGCTCGGTGTGTGTACCGTCAATGTCGGCAACGAGGGGACGCAGCAATCGAGGGTTTTGGCTCTCGGATAAGACTCGGATGAGTAGATTCTGAGGAACGAGGGCAACACTATCTCTTGGCCGAACCGGCAAGCCTTTGTCGTAGCCGTCGCAAGCCCGGCCTGTTGACGTGCAACGCGAACAAGCGGGCCGCTCCTCTCCGCACTTGATGCGTCTGATTCTAGCAGTTGTGTTAGTATCGGTGGGGGACTAAGCACAAGTCGAGGTCTTACTTGCTGCCACCGAGTCAGTCATTGTCGATTACAACAGCTCCAGGAGACTCACCAAGTCAGACAGCCGGTCCGCACTTTGGGCTTGCTCGCTCTTTTCCGCTTCGCAGTAATGATTGCTTTGTCTAGCGTAGGCTTGGCATTGCCGCTTTCCTGTGATGTAGATGCCATTCGTGACGAAGCAGCCGGCAGATCTAGTAATCCCGGGCTTTGTCTGTCTATTTAGGGCTGAGATGGTTTGCGGATCGCCAAACAGTCATGTTAATCATGGATAATATGACGAGAAGCTCCTCCTCCTTGTCCATGCCCGGTTGAGTGGCATTGGCGGCGTGCTCGATGCCAAGACAAGGTCAGGATGTCTAGTCTGAGCCGTGGTTGAAGCTGATGTTAACTGCAAGAGACTCAAGCTTGTGGACTAGACAGTCGAGAGTTTCGGGCAAAGGCGCAATTAACCACAACGCGGAGGCTAATGATAAATGATGAATGGGGTGAATCCAACTCAAGGTTGACGCGACTCGGTCATTATCCGTTGTCGTTACTGGCGTGGAGTTTCTTTCGTCTTTATTTCTGGCCCCACCAACCTCGCCGACCCTCCGTCGAAGGTCGGTAATGGGTGTCTAGGCAACGGACTGGATGATTGAAGCTGGAGAGTTGCGACCAGATTAGGAGGTGTGTTTAGGTTTGAATCCGGGCATTTGGGATGAAGACGAGAATCTATACATAGAATGCATTGCTGAGCTATTCCCATTGTGGCCTAGAAAATTGCTTAGTTGCTGCCCACCCCGCAATTCAGTGTTGCTTAACAACGAGTCAACTACAGCTCGTGAATCATCCAACGTATATTCATCCAGCACCCAGAATACACCACGACTGAAGCCCTCATATACGCCTTCAGGACAGTTTCTGTCACCAGCCAGCGGGCGCCCCTTTGGGGGTCAGGTCAAAACTGGCTGTGTGGTGGAGTGGTTGAAGTCCACGAACAGCCTAATCGGTGAAGGCTTAGAGGTCCCGAGTTCGAGTCGACAAAATCCCAGCATGTGCACCAAGAGATGTAGCCCCCATTCGCCACCGGGGGGGGGGGTGAACTCTTTTTAGTTCTGCCTAATAATGAGACTATCTGTCCAAGTGTTGTGTACGAGCTTGACAGGGCCGCGGGATGGAATAACAATTCACGATTATTACCAACCCATTCACTATATACTAAATCCGTGTCCATACTCTAATCATTATCATTACTCTCACTCATCTACGCACCCATATCTCCCGGCCTCAGCTGACTGGCACGCTGCTTGGCCCGCTGCTGCTTCTTGTTCTTCTTGATGTTCTTCCACTCCATAAACAAGGCGCAGATGAGCGTCGCGAGAGACAGCCCCATGCCCGCCAAAAAGATGCGCGTGCAGGCGTAGTTGTACGCCCGGACAACCACGTCCAAGAACTGCGCCGGCACAACGGTGTGCAGATTGGTGGCACCAGTGTTGACGATGGCCTGCGCAGACAGCCCCGGGATGCCCGAGAGCTCCGACACGAGCAGGTTGCTGAGGATGGACTGCCCGACGGAGACGAAGATGGCGGCTCCCAACTGTTGGGCAAAGAAGCTGATGGAGACGCCGGTCGACACGTCTTCCTTGGGAAGAACCGCCTGCACCGCGAGCCCGACGGTCTGCATGCCGAAGCCCAGGCCGAATCCAGTCAGGAATTGGTAGCCGATCCAGTGGCCGGAGCTGATGCCTGGTTGGAAAGTGCTCATCAGGCCTAGGCCCACGGACATGATGCACGGGCAGAGAATCATGGATGGCACGTAATATCCAATCTTTTGTGTCGCGCCACCCGAGATGATGGAGGACACCACGATGCTGAGGACGAGGGGGATGGTGTAAATTCCCGAGTTGACGGGGTTAGCTCCCTGCACGGCTTGGACTGAGAGGTGTCAGCACACTGTTAAGCAAGGTCGATAAAATCACTTACACCAGATGGGCAGGTAGTACACGGCCAGCATCATTGAGCCGGCCAAGAACAGCATGAAGAAGGCACCCGCCAGCATGGTTCTTTGCTTGATGATCCTGACAGGTACGGTGGCGGTCTTGGGCATCAAGACTTGCACGGCAGCGAACGCCATGAAGGCGACCCCGAATACGACAAACAAGGCGATGATGCGGCCGTCGTTCCACGCATACTCTGATCCACCCCACTCGAGCGCCAGTAGGAGAGACACCACGGAGGGGACGAAGAAGAACGTTCCCAAGGGGTCGAGCCGCTTAAAGTGTTGGAACAGCGTGGCTGGCTCTTGAGGCTGCCGCCTAGGGGCCTTGAGCATGAAGAACAAGAAGACGAAGGCCACGCCTCCAATGGGGAGGTTAATGTAGAAGCACCATCTGCGTCTCGTTAGTCGTGCCATTGTTTGTATGTATGCTTATGAGTCCCATTACCTCCATGTGACGTTGCTCGTGAAGCCGCCGCCAACTAAGGGACCAATGACAGACGCCAGACCGAACACCATACCAAAGATGCCCTGGAACATGGGTCTCTTATGCAGCGGGATCATGGGAATCATGACCATCATAGCTCCCGTGAAGATACCAGCCGAACCAACACCGGCGATAGCTCTGCCCGCAATGAGCACTGGCGAGCTCGGCGCAACACCGCAGATGAGCGAGCCGATTTCGAAGATGAGAATGCTTCCAAGGAATGCTCTACCGTCGTGTCAGCATGCTTTTTGGAGTCAGTGACCATCAAGACTCACCCCCTCAGGCTGTAAAACTTGTAGATTCTACCAAACACCAGTTGCGAGGCCGCCGTCGTGAGCATGTACGCCGAACCGTACCAGCCAATGTCTCCGAGACTTTGAAACTCATCAGTGATGCGAGGGATGGCCGTGGCAATGATTGTGCGGTCCAGAGCAACAAGGAACATTGCCACAAAGTTGGACAAAATGACGAGCCAAAAGGTAATGGTCTTCGGCTTGAAGTTTTCCTCGGCTTCATCGAAAACGGGCGGGGGCCCCGTGGGTGGCCCCCCTTCGATATCGGCCTTCTCATCGACATCGTCGTCGACGTCTGGCTGCTTGGATACATCGTTATGGCTCTCGTTTGCTGATATCGCCGAAGACTGGACTGTTGCCTTTTCTGTTGGTCTCTCGCTCTCAATCTCGGGCTCGATGGGCTTCTCTTCGGATGACTTCTTCTCTCGCCGCTCGTCGCTCTCTCTCGGAGTCAAGGTCCGCGTGGAGCTGTTGGAAGTCTCCACCTCACGCGTCTTCTCTGAGGCAGTATCGCCCTCGACGGGCCTCGCAGCTACGTCTGCCATGTTGAAGCTGTCGTGGGGATTTGGACAGCAGGAAGATTTCGACTGAAGCCGCAAAATGTAAACAAAAGAATGCAGCACACACAAATCTCTTTGGGCTTGGCAGCGGGAAAATGTTGATTAATGGAACGGGCAAGGGAGCTAGAGGTTCGTCCGGACTCTCGAGCGCACGGTCAGATCTCAAGTTACAGATCACGTTCGGACCACGAGCTCGTCTGGCGGGAGAGACACTAGGACGAGGTCATGTAACTAAGAGGCGAGGATCGCTATATATGGCGAGCCTGGCCATCGCCGCCATCCTGCTTATCTTGGACGCGGTGGCCGGCAGCATAGTGTGACAGGCAGAGGGCGCGACGCGAAGCCACGCAAGGCCATCATAGCCCGCATAGCAATGTCTCACAAGAAGAAAGTCATGACGAGATTCAGAAGCTGACTTGTCAAGGCCGATGGGGATGTCCAGCGAAGGATGCTTTGCCCAGCTCTCGCCCTTGTCTTTTGGTGGTGTACGGACATGGCGCTGCAGTTGCTCGGGCACCGGAGGTCGATGTTGTGTCCGGGCAAAGGGTGGAGCTTACCCTGTTCCGGATTAGCGCCGGGTGCTCGGGTATCTCGCAGCAATCTCCGGCTTACCTAAGGTCCTCCACCAGGCAATCCAGCTCAAGAAGCTTGGGCCACTCTCGACCCCTTGCAGGCGCGGGCCACGGGGAGACCAGCGCCGATGGGTCCCCCTTCGGTCCCGGGCGGGTAACGCAGCTGACCGCAGTCCCCGCTCCCTCTGATATTCATCTTACAACCAACCGTTCAGTTTCCTTTGTGGTCTCAACACGAGAAGGCACGAGAGGCCCAAGTTAAGCAAAGAGCCTCGATTCTTAGCACCGGACTGACCAAGTTGACAGTCATGTTGTTCGTCTCATAGGCTGGACGTCCCCGTATGTGACTTTTGCATACTCTCTGTCATACCACCTCGATTGTTTCGTACGAATTGTGATCCGTATCGTCCGTCTCTAAGCTCTTGCCTGCTCGTTCCTGGCCATCTACACTGCCCGCATACAGGATACGGCACTTTAACCTATCCCGGGAGCGTCGTGTACACCATCACGTCGATAGCGTCTCGGTCAATAATACAGCTTCCTCCGACCGACCCTGGCAAGAAGTTTGGCGGCAGCATCTGGAAGGGGCCCATCTTGCTTCTTCATTGGATCTCTTACTCTTTAGACTCACATGCTGCATACCGTCAACGTTTCGCCTGCAAACATCACCCCTCGGATCCGAGTTGGGAACAAGCCAGCCGACGAACCACGTCTGCAAGGTGGCTGACTGTCGCGTCGTCGTTGCATCCCAAGAGAGAGGCATCCACATAATACTGAACCATGTCGTCGGGAGAAGCCCAGCTCCCACCCCCGCCGAGGGCAGTTCCTCCACCCGCACCCGAACCCGACCCCATGGCAGCGATGAAGCTTACCAGGGGGACCTCGTGTGTGCTGTGCCAGCAACGAAAAGTCCGTTGCGACAAGAACAAGCCGTGTGCCAACTGCGTCAAGGCCCGGGTAGAGTGTCGAGTAATACCACCACAACCGCCCAGAAGGCGCAAGAAGCGTCTTCAGGAACGCGATCTCGTCGACCGCCTCAAAAAGTACGAATCCCTCTTGGCGGAGAATGGCGTCAAGTTCGACCCCATCGCCGCCGAGCTCAAGGCCGGCGATAGGAACTCGACACACTTTGACGATGACCGCATGCTCGACGAGGATGCCGACCTCGCAAACGACTTTGAGGGGCTAAAGACCTCGCCCGAGGGGAGCACATCCCCTTCCGTGGCAGGGAGCCGGAGATCGCAATCCGATAAGTGCGTAGGCCCACCCCATGACACTTGATCGTCAGCTAACTCAATCTCAACTAGACCATTTAGCAAATGGTTTCCCTTTCACAAAGAGGTGTGTTCCCTTGTATTGCTTTGTTATGTGCGCCATTAACTTGAATCACAGTTTCGAGCCAGCGAGGAGTTGTTACGAGACTCGTCAGAAGACGAGGTTGACGGCTCAACCATCCATCACGCCTTTGACAAGATGTACGATAACCAGGACGGCTTTCCATTCATCGTGGGAAGTCGAAACGCCTCCGTGACGCATCTCCACCCATCGCCTATCCAGATTTTTCAACTGTGGCAAATCTACATTAACAATGTCAACCCCCTCCTAAAAATAACACATGTGCCCACGGTACAGGGCCTCATCATCGAGGCCAGCGCCAACCTCGAAAAGATCCCAAAGAGCGTCGAGACGCTCATGTTTGCCATTTACCTCATGGCAATCACCTCTATGGAAGACGTCGAGGTGGCAAAGATGTTCAACGAGCCAAAGCCTACCGTCCTGTCAAGGTTCCACACCGCGCTTCAGCAAGCCTTGGTCAACGCGGGCTTCATGCGGACCAGTGATACAATGGTCCTCCAGGCCTACATGCTCTACTTGGTAAGTCATCATACATCATTTCAGAAGCACGCTAACAAGCTAGATCGCTGTTCGCATGTTTGTCGACCCGCGGCAAATATTCTGTCTCGTCGGTATTGCCGTCAGAATAGCCCAACGGATGGGCCTCCACCGTGACGCCGCCGCGTTCGGCCTGTCACCGTACGAAGTCGAGCAACGCCGGCGACTTTGGTGGACGATTGTAGGCTACGACCGCCGGATAGGAGAGATGACGGGTTCGACTGTGACGGCCCTGTCCACCGCCGCCGACTGCAAGCTGCCCCTCAACATCAACGACACAGACCTCCACGTCAACGGCAAGGACGCCCCGACCCCGCACCAAGGCGTGACGGAGATGCTCTTCGTCCTCATCCGGACAGAGCTGGCCATGGCCATCAGCAGCGACACCTTGCGCGACGGCCAACGCCATGGCGATAAGGACAAGGACGCCGGTGGCGGCGGGGGTACCGGCACCGGCACCGGTCCCCAAGCTCCGCCGCGTCCCATCTCGACGGTACGTATGGCCGGTCAGGACCAGGTTTACACCCTCGACGGCTTCTTTGCGCACATTGAAGGCACGTACCTCAAGTGGTGCGATCCCAAGATCCCACTACACTTCTTCACCCTCACCATGACGCGACAATCGCTCTGCAAGATGCGCGTCATCTCGTTCCTCGTGCGTATGGGCAACGGCGAGGCGACGACGCTGGCGGAGCACGAGCGCGACACGCTCTTTCTCGAGGCCATTCAGATGATTGAGTACGACAATGTCGTCCAGGCCGCCGACAGCCTGCAGGGTTACAAGTGGTACACGTATCTCCACTTCCCGTTCCCTGCCTACATGTTCTTGGTGACGGAGCTGCGGCACAGGTTGACGGGCACCATGGTCGAGCGCGCGTGGGACGCCATTGCCGAGAACCACGAGCGGAGGGGTCTGATGAGCACGCTGCACAGTCCCATGCACATTGCGTTTGGCAACTTGTTCATCAAGGCATGGGACGCGCACGCGACCGGGCAGGAGCAGATTGGGAAGAAGCCGGTGCAGGAGCCCATGTGGATCACGAGGCTTCGGCAGCGGGCGGAGAAGATGGGGAAGAAGCAGCACGGAGGCGGACGCCGGCCCGGGCCGGAGATGGGAATGGGCGGGGGTCCCGGTATTGGGGCGGGTGCCGGCGGTGGCGTCTCGCAACAGGCGGGTGGCGTGGGCAGGGCGGCGCCAGTGAACAACAGCGCGTCGCAGCTGCCGATGCAGCAGATTCCGCAAAACATGATGATGACACCGCCGTCCGTGACGGCCGGCACGCCGGTGATGAACCCACCTCCCTCGGAGGCCGACGTCATCGATATGGACTGGAGCTACCTGATGCAAGGATACGACATGGATACGTACGGGGCCTTTGGAGGAGGTTTCGGGGGGTTTCCCATGGGCGGGAACGGCATGGTTGGCGGCGGACCCGGCATGATGGGCAATCCGGACGGTAACAACATGTTTGGAAATTAGGGGGTCTATCTATCAGGGTCTTTCTACCTGGACCTTACAACCATCTTTATTACGATGTAATGAATTCAAACGTGCCAGCGAACAGCACTTGTACTTTTTTTTAGCAACCGTTCGTCCGTCCAACCCACGCATCATCCGTGACCACCTTTTGCGTAGAGTTGCATGCCGGCACCGTGAGCGTGCGGTTCCTCTCCTCGTAGAGAAAGCCGCAGCTCTGGCGCCGCACGTAGACGTAGCTGACGTTGGACCCGCCGGGGAGCTCGACGTCGACGCTCCAGAGCGGGCGCTCGGCGGTGTACCCGGACGCCGACATGGATTGTCCGTTGTTGACGTTCCACGAGCCGAGCTCGGCAATGTTGCCGAGCAGAGAGAGGCCCTCGCCGTAGTAGGTGGTCGCGTTGACCAAGAAGGTGACGGGCACGGTGCAGGAACCCGTGACGTCGGGCGCGCCGGCGGCGGTGGCGGGGACGTAGACGCCGGTCGTGGTCGAGGCGGCGCAGGTAGAGGGAACCTCTGACGCGATCTCGGGCACCCAGCTGGGCGGGTACTGGCCGGCGCGGCGCTCGGCCATGGTGATGAAGGCGGCGTAGGACCAGGTGAGGTCGCGGGCCGAGGTCGGGGACCCGGTGGTCTTGTTGAACTGCTCGGCGAGGGCGCCGTCGGCCGGGGTGTACTTTTGCGCGACCTCGACAAAGGAGTCGGCGTAGGCGTTGACGGCCTTGACGATGCCGGCGTAGTCGAGGGTCGAGTTGCTGTTCTTCTGGTAGGTCGTCTCCCTGGCGGTCGGGTAGAGTTCCTTGAAGAAGGGGAGGGAGGTCGCGTCGACCTTGATCTGGCCGTGAGCATTCCACTGCGCCACTGCGTCGTAGAGGAACTCGGCGGCGCCGAGGGTGATGAGGTACCTGGCTAGTTAGCTTCAAAGTTTTGACCACCTGCAAGCACAAAACTCACCAAGGGTTGCCATTATAGTACGTGTCCTCGATGTACCGACCGAGAGCAACACCTTGACCCTGCGCGATGCCCTCGTTGACGGGGTACAG